CTTACCATCTAAGAGTTTTTCCCCTCAAGTTTTTAACTACTATCTGCTTATATGCCATTGTTTCCAAAGAAGATCTAAAGTGTCTCAATCATTTTATAATCCACTGTCATAAAATTAAAATGAAATCAAGTAAAAAAAAATCAGAATGAAGAGAATATAAGGGTAAAAAAGAAAAAAAGAGGAAGCTAGGTGGGCTTATTCACTGGGTTGAGATGGGAGCCACAACATCTGGACTCTGAATGTTCAAGATTCTAGGACAGAGGGAGGAAAAACAACAACAAACAAAAGAAAACCCATGATGAATCTTATGATTCCCAGTGAACTCAGAAAATTAAAGCAATTAGTTGCTCAGGAAAAAACAACAACAATAACAACTATTCCTGGCTGAAACCAGAGAAAATTTTTTTCCTGTGTGATCTAGTCATCAGCAGCCACAAAACATCTATAGAGGAAGAAAACAACGTCATCTAGCTTCCTGCTGTTGGCTTAACACATGCACAGATTTTAGAATAACTAGAAACATGAATGCAACACCTAGCTTCTCTCCTTTTATTATTCCCATTCTCAATCTTTTTTTATTCCAGCTTTCTGATCCCTTCTCTTTGGTGGTTAGAGCATGAGTAAAAAAGCTGCAAAGGCTTGGGCTGAAAATGAAGACCAAGTACAAAACCACTATGACAATTAGCGTTATCCTATGGAGTGGGTGGAGAAAAGGGGGATGCAGTTCCCTAAATAAATCAGCTACTTCCTTCATTGTGGCGAACGACTGCTCCTTCATGGGTGTACACCTCGCCTTCTCCTCACCCACTAGTGAAATATTAAATGTGCTGTTAGGGCACTGTAGGTTCCAACACTTAGATCTTCTTTTGCTGTTGCAATATGATACTTTTAAATTTCTTTACTGTGAAATCTAAATCCTACAACGTGACCCTCAACAGCCCAGCTAGGAACGCCCTGCCTCATATAACTTTTTAAAGTCTTTTGGCTAAATTATTCAAATGATCGTTATTTCTTGGATCTCAATGACCTTATAAATGAAGCTATTATATGAATATGATTATTAAAAATAATACCAGGAAGTCAAGGGATATAAAACAAAGACATGGGTAACTGCTTGGTTTGTGATCGTTAAATGCTTGGTATCCATAAAAGGCCACACACTTAAAGGGAGGCAGGAAGAGGCAAAACACTGTGCAACTTCTTCCCAGAATGCCCTTTAGCAGATCAATGCCAATGGTTAGCCATTGAACTTCCATGTGATTATTGGAATGGACAAGTGATTCTCAAATGTAAGGACCACACCGCTCCCCCAATGGGGGGCTTCTCAGAACGTGAAGTGAGCTATATAAGATGAAATCATATTGTAATGTAATAATATTATTTTATGCTGTCAAAAGAGAAGATGCATATTTTTATTGTAAAAACTTCTGAAAGTAATGCTTAACAAGGTCTTCTGGGCTGCAGAGAATACAGAGGAGCAGTGATTGTCAAAGTCATGAGAAATAAGGGAACATGGGGCATGGCTCTCTACGGACACACCCGGTATTTCAGGACAGGACTGAGATTTCTATCATTATCAAAAAGGGCATAGACCTGAAAGCTGAGAAACATTGTACCAGACCATAGACCATGTCTGATTTATACAAAACACTGAGACAGCCCTGCCTGGGTAGTTCAGTTCGTTAGAGCATTGTCCTGATACACCAGGGTTGTGGGTTCAATCCCCAGTCAGGACACATACAAGAATCAACCAAAGAATGCATAAATAATGGGAACAACAAAATTGATTTTTTCTCTCTCTCCCTTCCCTTCCTCTTTCTCTAAAGTCAATCAATAACTTAAAAAAATTTTAGAAACCATCGAGACAAAAATATCTAATGATGATAGAATGCATATCAGTGGTTGCCTGGGGTAAGGAGTTTTTCCTAAAAGTTCATATATTTGTTTTAGTTACAAGTACTTGTTTTGATTGCAAAGCAGCTCCAAAACCAGCATTGATTTTAATAACTAAAACAAAGCAACCATCTGTTTTTTAATTTTCTCTATTAAAAAAATGTGTAGGGAATATTAAAGGCACAGGTCCAATATACATAAACAGAGGACAATGTGAATGAGTTTACTGGCAGGAAGTGGTTTAAATTGTTTCCAGGGTTGTATTGTGTTCTTTAGATCAGCAATAGATGTTAACTAGCTGATCAAATGTAGAGAGATAAGGGGAAAGGGAAAAAAACAGCCTATTTCTAGCAAAACACATGAAATGCCCATTTCATGCAAAACCAAATTGCATTTAACTAGTGGATTTAAGAAATAGACAAATTAAGTTAGGAAATGACAATTCACTTTTTAAAGGTTTTTTTTTTAATGTGTTTTCTTTATAATGAGAGCTCCCATAATGTATTAAAAACATGATTCCATACATAGAAATTCTATTTCAATCTAACCTTCCAAGAAAGTATCTTTAATAAAACAAGGTAGAAAATGAATTCATTTCAGGCCAAACTGTAACAAGTTCTATGAAGAGAGAGCAATACCCTTAGTAGAAAAGTGCAATTACGATCTGTTAGTTGAGATAAAACTAACATATTACAAATATGCAAATGTGTCAGAAACATTAGGCATAAGGCATTTATTGAATACTAAACAACCCTGGCATAGAAGAAATGAAGTAATAACTTCGAAGGATTTTACAGTTGCAACAATAATAGGTAAAGCGACCCATCATTTACTTGCCCATGAATAGGGAAAGGATGCCAATTCTAACAAGCTAATCGCCACCACTGCCACTTCCCACTGTTCTTCTTGCTTTAGTTGCCCCCCATTTCCGTAGTCCTTAGTCATGCTTAACTTTTTTTGTAATTTCCGTATCTACCATCCAACAATTAGATTGCAAACTAGAGCTGCAAAAGAAAGAACATCTGGGAAACTTTAAGATTAAGATCCAGAACTAAAGAATACAAAGCTTCAAAATTTAGTGATTTGTGCACCTTGATCTTTGTCATAGGATATTATGAAGATACAAAAATATGGAAATATTAAGCAACCTTTAAAACCTTTTTATTTTGATAGTCATGGGGATATAAAGTACAGCATAGGTAATATAGTTAATAATATTGTAATTACTATGTATTATCAGGGGGAATCACTTTGTAAGTTATATAAATGTCAAACCATAATGCCTGTTGTATACCTGAAACTAATATAATATTGAATGTCAACTGTAACTGAAAAATAAAAATATTTTTTTAATTTTGAAATAATTACAAGATAGTACAAGTGACTTGTACACTCTTCATCCAGATTCTCCAACTGTTAACATTTATCATATTTGCTTTATTAACCTCATTCTCTATCTATTCAACCATTCGAGAGCAAAGTGAGACACCTTTCCCCTTTATACCTAAATACTTCAATATGTGTTTCCTAAGAACAAGGACATTCTCTTTCAAGGCCCTAATAAAATGATCCAAATCAGTTAACTTAATGTTATTACAATATAATTATCTAATATACAGGTCATATTCAAAGTTCAGCAGTTGCCACAATAATATTCTTTATAGCTGTTTTTCTAATCTAATTCAGGGTTGCCCATGGATTTATGCATCTTGCCTCTTTAATCTCTTTTAATCTGGGACAAATCCTTAGTCATTGCCTTTCATGATATTAATTTTTTTCAAAGATTTTATTTATTTATTTTTAGAGCAAGAGGAAGGGAGGGAGAAAGGAAGGGAGAGAAACATCAATGTGAAAGAGAAACATCACTTGGTTGCATCTCCTACCTCCCAGATTCAGGACCAAACCCTCAATCCAGGCATGTGCCCTGACTGGGAATCCAACAAGCGACCTTTCGCTTTGCAGAACGAATCCTAACCAACTGAGCCACAGCAGTCAGGGCTATGACATTAATATTTTTGCAGAATATGGAGAAATTATCTAGACTTGTCTACCTTGTATAAATTATATGCATTATTTTGCAGGAATATACATTGTGTTATGTCCTTTGGGGGCATCATATTGTAAGGCACATAATGTCCACTCCTCCCATAGCCCATGATACTAATTTTGATCATTTGGTTATGGTGGTGTCTACCAAGTTTGGTTTTTGTTTTTTTGCAAACTTCTTTATTATCTTTGTAATCAATATGAAATTTGTAGGGAGCTAGTTTGAGACTATGTAAATATGTTACACATCACCATAGCTTTACTTTCTAGTTTTAGCGTCTTTTGATGATTCTTGCCTTAACCAAAATTTTTACTGAGCAATTATTGACATATAAAATCGACTCCTTTAAAGTGTATGATTCAGTGGTTTTCAGTACACTTGCAAGGTTGTGCAACCATCACCATGATCTAACTCCAAAACATTTGCATTGCCGCGAAAAGAAATCCTGGACCCCTTAGCAATCATTTCCCTTTCCTCTGCTCCCTTTAGCCTCTGGAAACCACTAATCTACTTTCTGTCTCAATGGATTTGGCCACTTCGGGTATTTCATATCACGGGAATCAGACAATATGCAATCCTTTCTGTCTGGCTTCTTTCACTTAACGCATTTTCAAGCTTCCTCATATGAGAGCTTTAACCAATACTTCATTCTTTTTTACTTACCTACATCAATTATTAGTATGATTTCTGAAAAATGATGATATTCTAAATGCATCATTCTTTCTAAATACATTGTTCTGTCTACATTTATTGGGCAACATTATTTTCATCGTCCTTTGTCATCGCTCTTTAAGAAAACTGCACCTGGGAAGTCGATTTTAATAGACAGGGTTCCCTTCCACTCCAGTAATTCCCAGTCTTAGATGGCAGATCACCTTTCCAGGAGTTGACAGACCTCCCCACATTGCCACTTGAACAAACAGCTCTGTGAGTCTCTCTCCCCCTGTCATCCAGAGGCTCCACCCCCTTCTCCAGGTGTCCCCTCCCTGGCGGCTCAAGAGGAGGAAGTGACGCACCGGAAGTGTCCCTGATCCCCTTGCAGTGGGGGGAAGGAATTAAACCCCCAAGATGGCGGCGGCGTCGGAGGAGCGGATGGCTGAAGAAGGAGGCGGCGGCCACGGCGACAGCGGCTCCTCTTCGTCCGTCGGCTCTACCCAGCGACTGCCCCCACCGCCCCCGCCCCAGCCTCCACAGGCGGGGTCCCAGGCGCCCCCAGCCCCGGCGCTGGCTCCGGACCAGCTGCCTCAAAACAACACGCTGGTGGCGCTGCCCATCGTAGCCATCGAGAACATCCTCAGCTTTATGTCCTACGACGAAATTAGCCAGCTCCGCCTGGTGAGGCCCCGCGGGACCCCCCGCCGCCCTCTCCGCCGGGCCGAGGTCTGGGGAGGGATGGAGAGGGGAGCACGTTCCCCGGGGAGGGAGCGCCCCGCGAGCCCAGGGTGCCGGAGCTCGGCCCTCCAGCCCCAAAGTCTCTCTGGGTGGCTGTCAGCGAGATTTGTCCCGACGCCGCCCTGGCCTCGGGGCTGGGGGACGACAGCCTGGGGGAATTTCGCCTTGGGGTGCTCCGTTCCCCACCCCACCCTTGCCTGGAAGCGGGGTTCCCAGCTCTGCCTGGCCTGAGCGTGGACACCCGAGTGGGCTCGACTGCCTTTGTACAGCACCTTGCAGTCCCCAGCCGGGGCTGGGGACAGCACTCCGAGGAAGCAAAACGGTCCCGCGATCCCAGCCAGGTTTCGTTTGTCTGCGAGAAGAACGTATTGTTTCCCCAACCACCCAAGTTTCCTTGTTTGAGAAGATAAAGTAGGGTTGGTTCTTCCCGAACCGGCATGAGGTTCGGGGAACTGGAACCCCAGCACCTGTAACTGACCGGGGAAGCGGGGGCCTGCGAATTCCCAGCCAGCGCGGCCTCGCCCCTGACACTGCCCACCCGGAGTGAAGCAACTTGCCCCTTGACCGGGGTTTTTTCTCTCGCAATTCACCCTCTAACTGGTGCTTTGCGCCTACCCGCCCGCTTTAGGAGAGGTTTTGTACCTCAACATCACAGTAGTTCGTTCAGCCAGTGATTTATAAGAATAATGCAATTGCCACTGGGGTTTTATTTCGCTCCAGAGGTTTGACGGAAGGTTTGATGAATGTCTTAGTCATATTTTGCTTACTGTCGGTGAATTTGAAGTGGTAAGGAGCTTAAGGAGGTGGACATTTTGAAGTGATTGCAGACCGATTCTGTGTAGATGCTAAATCTGTGGTCGGATTGTTTTTAAGAGGACAAAGACATATTTCTGAATGTGCTGTGTATAGCATTTTCTTACTGATCAATATGCCATATTTTAGGTTTGAAATTCATTGTGATTGCATTTTTGAAAGGAAGCCATGCTTATTTTTTAAAGAAAGCTTATTAATAATAATTCAAACTGATGACCAATTTTTTTTCTAGTCAACACAGCCATTCAACCATTCCAGTCTGCAGGATGGAAAATTCTCCAGTTGAAAAGTCATATTTCAAAACTGATTGCCCCTGAATTTTCAAAACATGTCTCCTTAGAATTTCATGTAGAATCTTAAATATCTCTTCAAATTTGTCTGAACGATGGTGTTTGGTCAAGATGCATGCTATACATTCATGGTGTCTAGAAACTGAGCATAACATTTGATTGAATTGAGCCTTTCAGCCAGACAATAGCTTTGTAAAGCTTGGAATGGTCGCAGTTCTGTTTTATAAGTATTGAGGAAAACTGTGGGGGTTTTGTTCTTTTGTCAGTTGTTTTACTTTTTTAAAAATTAAAAACATTTTTAAAGGAGGGGCGGAGGAATCAGCCCATCCTAGGGCACAGAGTTGAAACATGTTCCACAATGTGAGTGACATTTCTTTCAAGTGAAATATTCGGTTGCACTCTTAATTTTTAAGCAATTATCTATTCTAGCCTTTTAGGGAGACAAATTTATAGTTTCAAACACAGATTTTTTCATAAGGAGCCCATTCCAACCCTGCCTCCCAAAAGATTCTGCGGCCAGTTTTACATCTCAGAATTTTTTAAAAATCAGCTTTAGCAAAAGGGAACTTATTCCTGGTTAATGGATAAATCTTAGATTAAATGGATAATCTTTTGTGAATGTATGGAGGTGTCTGGTTTTAGATTTTTTGGTGTCAGGGTACAATTCAGGTTAACATCAGCAAAGTGTTCTCTCTCACCACTAGGTGTCAGCATTAATTTAATTATGCTCTTTATATGAAATTGGCAGTCTAGAGACAGTGCCTGGTAGGTGCTTTACATGCCTATTCTATTTAAGTGGCCATTTGTACCTGAATAATTGTTTGCCAAAAAAAAAAAAGTCAAGGAACTTTAGTATGTATGCTGCTATGAAGTGTATAAATTACATAGTTTCTTTTATTGTTTTTTTTTTTTTTTTACGGGGGGTGGGGTTAGGGGAATTAAAGCTGGATATGCTTGGAAGAGAGTGATTTTAATTAAGAGCAGAAATAGTTTCATAAGCTAAATGTCAGCTACTCAGTGCCTGATGAGCTATTTTATGAATGGTTCAGATGTTAGTTTTTCTTCCCTCCCACTTTGCTTGCCTTATTGGGACTGCAATCATAATTATGTTAGCACCTAAATTAGAGAACCAGGTACACAATCCAGGTACTTATAACTCTGTATTTTCTTTAAAAGATTTGCTCTATGTTGAAACTGCCACAATAACATTTTTCAGTTATTTGTGCACTTACGCTGACGATATTTGCTTCTTGTTGCCATGAATAGTTATTTCCAAGGGACCGTCCAAACACCTTATTAAATCCTTTTTTTGTTTGTTCATTTTTCTGCCATCAACTTGCTCCAAAAATGTACCCAGAGCTTGAAAATCCTGGTCACACAGATATCGTTCTTTAAATATTTAATTCCTCCAATGCATTTAAAATTATTTGGTTGAACACAACTTTTGTAATGACAAAACCTGTACTTTGAGTTGTTTTTCCAGTAAATCAGACAAATTTGTGCTGAGGCAGCGTCAGACTGTCACCCAGGCCCTCTTGACAGCAGGAGAGCTTTTGAAACAAGCAGCAAAGGTTAAGTGAGGGCCTGCTCCTAGTTAGCGAGCAGATTGCAGCTAACTTTGAAAGTGCAGCAGTGACTCATAAGCACAGTGTTCTCACTCACTGAAAAATGAGTATGGAAGGCTTTCTGAGAGATTTTTTAGGGAGATCCTGTCAGATATTTTTCTTTGTGGTTCAAGAGGAGCACCTATAAATTTAATGGAATCCTATTAGCAGTTCAGGACATATTTGACTAAAGGTTAAATTCAAAAGTCTTGCTTATTATCTGGAATGAAAATTTCCAGTTGATAACAATATATAAATACTACCTGTTTTGTTCCAAGATACATCTCTAGCACATTCTAGCTCGTTAAATCCATTCCTCCTTTCATTACATATTTTCTTCCAATGTTAGAAAAGATCAGTTATAGAGAGGGTTCATTGGTAGGAAATTTGAAGGAAAAATGAGAAACCATTATATTTTTTAAAAACTGGGCAAGCTGTCTTCCTTATCTCTCTTGCTCTGTGCCAGTAGTTCTCAACTTTTTTGTCTGGAAACACCTTTATGCTCTTAAAAGTTACTGAGGACCCTAAGAGCTTACCTTAGAAAATTCTAGAATGCACAAGAATACACTGTATATTAGCTCTCAGAGCAGTGTCGTCAGATGTCATGTTGCCTCTGGAAAACTCCACCGTGTGTTGTGAGAGAACCGAGAGTGGAAGTGGCAAGCGGTATTTTAGTATCACGGGGGCAGTTGGCTTCGGAAACCCGTGGAAGGACCTCGGCAACCCCGGGGGTCCCTGGGACGCACTTTGAGAACCACCGTCTGTATTGCTGTGTTTTGCTGCTTTTCAGGGTTGGGTTTTGGGTTCCCCCCCCCAATCTCATCAGGTGATTGATTTTATTGACAGGTACTTTAGTAAGAAATTATACTATTTGGGGGACAGTTGATTCTTCCTGCAGATTCTAGACTTGAGGTGAAGGGGTCAGTCAGTAGCCTTGTCCGCAGCATCATCGCTGAATCAGTGTCCCTCGAGCGCACTTACAAAGCATCAGTACCGCACAGGGGAGCACAGTGATGCAAGGTTAGGTCAGGTCATTGGGGGGCAATCTGGAGAGGCAGCCTCTGAGGTGGAAGAACAGCCCTCTCATAAATAAGTAAGATGACATAGCAGCTAATGAAGTAATTGCGGAAGGGTGACTTAGAGAGAATAAACTGAGATTGATTTTGGATGTGTGAAGTTTTAGGTGTCCTAGACTAGTGATCGGACGACACTCCACCCCCACTTTCTACTTTTTTTTATTTCTCAGACTTGTCAAGTTTAAGAAACTGTTTTTGAGAACTTCCAGGGTTGACAACTTTTGGTGGGGAAAGCGAGGAAGGATATTCAAAAGAAAGGCACAATTTCTGTCTCTTATCATCAATGTTATTTCGTTCTTCTCTTCTGGGAGGTGTGGTTTCTTACAGAGTTGAAGAAGGTGCTATCTTAAAACGGTGGCTTGTGCATATAAATTCAATTTCATGATATTTGAGACAAGGAGCGAAAGATAACCTTTGATAGAGGTTTCTCCCAGTCACCTATGTCTGGCATCTTGCACTTAAAAAAAAGAGTGACTGAAACAACCATCAAGCTGTTCAGTTTCCCATACGTCATAGGTCTGTCCAAGCACATGCTTTTTCTTCAGCCTGCGGCCTCTCCTTGGCTTCCCTCTCCTAGAAAATGTCTGTACCTTCGAGTGTTAGGAACCCAGAAAAGCTGTCTGTGATTCCGCTCTGAACTTGACGCAGGTGGTATTTCTGAGTTCCCATTTCATCGTCATCGCGCACACAAATCGGGATGGTCTTTGGAAGGGCGCGTTCCCTGCTACAAGTAAGCCCCGCACGGCCTTTCATCTGGAGTCCTGGTGGCCTGAGGCCTTCCGTGTGCAGTGTGAGTGAAGTCATTCTCAAAGCGTCTCACTGCTCTGAGCGCACACTAGAAAATGTGTCATTGTAAAATACAAGTGTTCCCCGTACCAATTATAATAGTGCTGAAAAATCAGTTGCTTAATATTTACCTCCAACAGAGGATATCAGAAAATGTTTTTAAATATAAAGTGTTTAGTTTACCCAGAATGTCTTTAACATTTTACAAGACCATTTTAAGAAGCTTGAGTGACTAAAAAAAAAGTATTCTTAATGAAAATAAAAATTGATAAGGTGATCTGAAGCTGGTATATAATTGATGAGACTAGCCATGTACAATAGCACCTCAAGACTCCTTCATTATAATCAGCACTCAGTTGCTCTAGAAATGAAAA